ATAAATGAAACCAAGCTAAACCATTGGACTCATCTGTTCCTTCCTACCTCCAAATTTCCATAACACAATACATCCCTGAGTGCAGTGATGGTACCTGCATGCCTCAAAACAACCAGGATATCCCAGTATCCAAAAAGTCGACCATGTCCTGCCTCAACGACTACCAACCTGTAGCACTCACACCCATCATAATGAATGGCTCAAGAGGGGAGTATTGAGGCACATGAAGGCACAACTCCCAGACTAATCCCCTACAGTTTGCCAATCGCCTTCAGTGGAGGGGCCTACCAGCAACAATGATGAGCCTGTGTACAGAGTGGAGGTAAAAATATCTAGTGTAGTGGTGTCAGAACAACAACCTGTCTCTACACATTGAGAAGACAAGAGATGCTTGTTGACTTAAGGAAGAACCCTGCTGCTCACTCTCCCTTGAACATCAACGTCTCCACTGTTGAGGAAGTTGGCAGTGTAAAGTTCCTAGGAGTGCACATGGCAGGCAACCTCTCTTGGACCCTGCACGCCACCTTCATCAGTAAAAAAAAGCACAGCAGTGTCTCCATTTCCATTCCAGCCTCTTTCCTCCCATCTTCATCACATTTTACGTATCACTGTCTGGTTCAGGAACTGCAGCGTGGATAAGGTAGTCAGGCTCCTCAAGGACTAACATTGCCCCAGCTAGTCAACCCCCCAAACCCCAAAGACTGCCACTACCCGACTGACCCACCCACTCCAAGTACCCTCCAATGATGATTTGTTGTCATTTGCCTTTTTTTTGTTACATTTGCACATTCCTCTATTTGACCTATACTGCACTACACTGCACACATGCACAAAATCAAGCATAGGTTTGTACATTTTTTGTATTTTATTGTGTTATGGATATTATTTATTGTATTGTATTTATGTGTAGCACCATCTGGGGGAAAAAGGAATATAGCATCTTAATGAGCTGTGTACATTTACATAGATGTATTACCAAGAGTTTTTTTACTCAGTTTGTTAACACCCCTACCAGGGGAGATGCCATTCTTGATCTTGTTTT